GTGTGAAATTGGCAAAATTGCCAATTTCTGACCACTTTATTGGATAGTTGAAATCGGGAAATGGGTGGTTTCTTGTACTCATTCGATAGAAAAAGTGGAGTTCTAGCGAAATAGTTATGGTTTTTGTCGACTGGTACATTGGAATTAGCTGAAAATAGGGCTCCAAGTGGGTAAAATCACCGATGCGTAAACATTGTCGAGACCGCTAACTTTGTGAGAGCATAATTCTGTAAGTTTTCCATCAAATTTCATATTTTTGGTGTCATTATGATTGGAAGAAGATTCTCTATCATTTCATAAGGAATTTTTTTTTTTTTTGACCCTGAGAACAAGTTTAGGAGAGGACCTCTCGACCCTGAAAGGGTTAACTGTATGGTAGAGATTTATATTTGTTGATTTCATATTTATTCTGAGATTGAAGTCAGTGACAATTTCATGTTCAAACATAAGTGTCTATCTCCCCCTCCCGCTCTAAGAATCATAGCAAATAAAGAGTTGCTGCCTCATCATCATTTGCAGCTGTTACTACATTATGTGTTAAGAAAGTTCACAGCTACACTGTGAGGCCAACGGCTGTGGTCCTGACAGTCATCAGGCCCAAGTCATAATTAATATATGTATAACTTTTTATTTTTTGGCAAGCAAATGGAAGATGGTACACCTTTTTGCCAGTATTTGAAAAAGGTGATAAGGAAAACTTAAAACTGTAGGTCAGTTAAATTGGCAAGTAGTGTAAAAATGTTGTAAGAAGTCAGAGAAAAGTGGATGAAACAATTGAAGAAGAACAACCTACTGATGAGTAAACAATTTGGCAGTCACAGAAATTGTTCAGGAGCTGAAAGAATTGTCAGATTGTATTTATCCAGATTTTAAAAAACCTTTGAGAGTGCAAACCTAATACCTAGGATGGATAAATGGTAAGTTATTAACCCTTTTGGGGTTTTGGCCGTACTAGTATGGCTTACACGCCAGGGTTTTTGACGTACTAGTATGCATAAATTCTAGCGCCCTCAAATCTAGCAGAGAAAGCTGGTAGGCCTACATATGAAAGAATGGGTCTATGTGGTCAGTGTGTGCAGTATAAAAAAAGTCCTGTAGCACACAGTTCGTAATGAGAAAAAAAAACCTTTGTGTTTTTGGTTTAAAACAGCGACTTTTTACTGTATTTTCGTATGGTATTTATGGTTGTATTCTAGTTTTCCTGATCTTATTTTATAGAATGGAAGACATATTACAGAGATTGAGATGATTTTGATTGGTTTCACAAAGAAAATTACCTTGAAATTGAGCTCAAAGTAGCAGAAATGTTCGATTTTTACCAAAGTTCAAAAGTAAACAAATCATGCCACACGTCCAATACACGTCAACTGGTGAATCTATTATTCTTTCACAAGTGCGCTGGTATTATTTATACCATTTCTACACTAATACAGTAGTCTGCATAACAGTAAATCTTCTATTTTTTGTGAGAATAAAAATTCAAAGTGGAAAGCAAAAGAAATGTAAGAGGGGTGTGGGGATGTGACTAATGAACAGAGGAAATGTTATTTTAGTGCCAGGAATGTCTTGTTTATTCTGGACCCTATTTGGAAATTGGCATCATTTGAAATTTGTGTGAAATTGGCAAAATTGCTAAATTCTGACCACTTTATTGGATAGTTGAAATCGGTAAATGGGTGGTTTCTTGTACTCATTTGATAGAAAAAATGGAGTTCTAGCGAAATAGTTATGATTTTTGTCGACTAGTACACTGGAATAGGCTGAAAATAGGGCTCAAAGTGGGCAAAAGCGCCGATGCGTAAACATCGTCGAGACCACTAACTTCGCGAAAGCATAATTCTGTAAGTTTTCCACAAATTTCATACTTTTGGTGTCATTACGATCGGCAAAATATTCTCTATCTTTTCATAAGAAATTTTTTTTTTTTTTTTTTTTTTTTTTTTTTTGGGGAATCCCGAGAACAAGTCTCTGAGAGGGCCTGGTGACCCTCAAAGGGTTAAATTGGTTGAGAGACTTTCTTTTTGAAACAAAAATGCAAAGTTATTAGAGGGAAAAATGTTACTGAGGGAGGATGTCACAAGTGGAGTTCCACAAGGATTTGTACTTGCCCCAATAAATAATAAAAATGATTCAGTCTCTTCGGGATGAGGTTCAGTAACTAATGAATGACTATAAATCTATGACGATGACTTTGATACATGTGTATTGAATAAATGAAGTGATAGATGGATGATGGGAACCTGTTAATTGGGCCAGAGTTTTGGAGGTGGGAAATACAGTACCTACACTCTAAAGCAGGGGTAGGGTTATTTGCAGCTTGGAGGGTCAACTGAAATTTAGTACCAGTGAAGAGCTTTTGATCCAAAGAATTGGGCCTATCCTCCCTTTCCTGGGGTTGAACCCGACTGCAGTGTATGCTCCCTACAGGTTTAGCACTCCACCCTGTGAATTTTTTTTTCAACAAGTCAGCCGTCTCCCACTGAGGCAGGGTGATCCAAAAAGAAAGAATATCCCCAGAAAGAAAAAACTTTCATCATCGTTCAACACTTTCACCTCACTCACATGTAATAATAATAGGGATTCACATTATAACTATATACAAAAGATGAGGTAATCAGTCCCTCAGCCTTGGAGTTAGTGTTCTAGAATCTGTATTGATAAAGCCAATGGGTGGCAAAACGTCAACAATAAAGATATCCAGATGTTGCACATGTGTTTTAACTTTAATAATAATAATAATAATAAGTGAACAGTATTTAGATAAGGCTAAAGAGGTCTTTGTGGCATTTATGGATTTGGAAAAGGCATATGACAGGGTGGATAGGGGGGCAATGTGGCAGATGTTGCAGTTTTATGGTGTAGGAGGTAGGTTACTGAAAGCAGTGAAGAGTTTTTACGAGGATAGTGAGGCTCAAGTTAGAGTATGTAGGAAAGAGGGAGATTATTTCCCAGTAAAAGTAGGCCTTAGACAAGGATGTGGATGTCACCGTGGTTGTTTAATACATTTATAGATGGGGTTGTAAGAGAAGTAAATGCGAGGGTCTTTGGCAAGAGGTGTGGAGTTAAAAGATAAAGAATCACACATAAAGTGGGAGTTGTCACAGTTGCTCTTTGCTGATGACACGTGCTCTTGGGGGAAATTCTGAAGAGAAGTTGCAGAGATTGGTGGATGAATTTGGTAGGGTATGCAAAAGAAGAAAATTAAAAGTGAATACAGGAAAGAGTAAGGTTATGAGGATAACAAAAAGATTAGGTGATGAAAGATGGATATCATATTGGAGGGAGAGAGTATGGAGGAGGTGAATGTATTCAGATATTTGGGAGTGGACATGTCAGTGGATGGGTCTATGAAAGATGAGGTGAATCATAGAATGATGAGGGGAAAAGGTGAGTGGTGCACTTAGAGTCTGTGGAGACAAAGAACTTTGTCCTTGGAGGCAAAGAGGGGAATGTATGAGAGTATAGTTTTACCAACGCTCTTATATGGGTGTGAAGCATGGGTGATGAATGTTGCAGCGAGGAGAAGGCTGGAGGCAGTGGAGATGTCATGTCTGAGGGCAATGTGTGGTGTGAATATAATGCAGAGAATTCGTAGTTTGGAAGTTAGAGGAGGTGCGGGATTACCAAAACTGTTGTCCAGAGGGCTGAGGAAGGGTTGTTGAGGTGGTTCGGACATGTAGAGAGAATGAAGCGAAACAGAATGACTTCAAGAGTGTATCAGTCTGTAGTGGAAGGAAGGCGGGGTAGGGGTCGGCTAGGAAAGATTGGAGGGAGGGGTAAAGGAGGTTTTGTGTGCGAGGGGCTTGGACTTTCAGCAGGCAATGCGTGAGCGTGTTTGATAGGAGTGAATGGAGACAAATGGTTTTTAATACTTGACGTGCTGTTGGAGTGTGAGCAAAGTAACATTTATGAAGGGGTTCAGGGAAACCGGCAGGCCAGACTTGAGTCCTGGAGATGGGAAGTACAGTGCCTGCACTCTGAAGGAGGGGTGTTAATGTTGCAGTTTAAAAACTGTAGTGTAAAGCACCCTTCTGGCAAGACAGTGATGGAGTGAATGATGGTGAAAGTTTTTCTTTTTTGGGCCACCCTGCCCTGGTGGGAATCGGCCAGTGTGATAATATAAAAAAAATAATTGTAGGTAGTAGGTTGGTAGACAGCAACCGCCCAGGGAGGTACTACTGTCCTGCCAAGTGAGTGTAAAACGGAAACCTGTAATTGTTTTACGTGATGGTAGGATTGCTGGTGTCTTTTTTCTGTCTCATAAACATGCAAGATTTCAGGTATGTCTTGCTACTTCTACATACACTTAGGTCACACTACACATACATGTACAAGCATATACATACACACCCCTCTGGGTTTTCTTCTATTTTCTTTCTAGTTCTTGTCCTTGTTTATTTCCTCTTATCTCCATGGGGAAGTGGAACAGAATTCTTCCTCCGTAAGCCATGCATGTTGTAAGAGGCGACTAAAATGCCGGGAGCAAGGGCCTAGTAATCCCTTCTCCTGTATAAGTTACTAAATTTAAAAAGAGAAACTTCCGTTTTTCTTTTTGGGCCACCCTGCCTCAGTGGGATACGACCGGTTTGTTGAAAGAAAATAATAATAATAATAATAATAATAATAATAATAATTCTCAGTGTGGAACCACATTCATCTGGAGGAGGAGGGCATAGGTGAGTTAAAAAAAAAAAAAGGTGTACGGAGAGAGTGAGGTAGGGAATCGGAGAGAGGGAAGCCATTGTCATGAGTACAGTACATTATGAATTTCATAACAAAAACAAAAATTAACGGGAATTAGATATGGAATAGTATTATTGTCACGGTCTGCATCTCTAGATACAATGGGTTCCAATGATAAAAATGTGATTTACTTAACAGACTTTTTCTTAGGTCTCTATCTAGGTTGTTAAGTAAGATGTTAAGCACGAGCCAACTCTGTATCATATTTAAAAATTTTATGAAATTTAAAGTATCTAAAATAATTTCTGCATCTGCAGCTTGGTGGCACTGTAACCGAACATCGTGGAATTTTAGAAAAGGCCCTTCGTCATAGTCGCAAGATTCATAAAGACTGTAATCATTTGGAGGAATGGCTAAGTACTACTGAGTGTGAATTAGACCAGCGAGAAGCAACTGTGCCTGCAACAAATGTCCAAGGGGAAGTTCATTTTGCTCAGGTATGCTTCTTATATTATTAAATTATTTTAAAATTGTAAGTGTGTAAGATGTTTTGACATAACATAAACATTAATCATAATTCTCTTACATCATATTTTAAATTATCATTTCATTTTTCTATACAGTTCCTGATACTGAAAATTGAAATAAAATTTTTTTGTGAAAATTTATAGGAAGCTTCATGTCAAAAATATCTCATAAGCATTTTTTTTTTTTTTTTTCATTTTTTAACACTGGCCATCTCCCACCAAATGGTTAGCATTGGTGTATACAGATATTGTATTTTGTTTACTGCATCTGTATATGAGGTATTTAAATTCATAAAAATCCACTTTTGTAATAGTTCTTCTATTACCACATTAGTAATTCTTTGTCTGCACACATCATTAAGAACTCTAGAATTATATCCAGTTTTAAATTTACTAACTCGTTCCAAAAAATTTGAACAGTAAATACACAGCTAACATCTAGTTAAAGAATGACCTTCTGTCTTAATAATAAAACCAAGTCCAAGTTTACCTCTGTCTTTTGGAGTGTACATACCCATCCTTTACAGCATGCCATTGATGATTTGGGGCGCAAGAAGCCCTTACTGACAGGATTGCACGAATCCTATACTGCTCTTACTTCTTTGTCTGATGATTCTGCCTTGCTACAACCCATTAAAGAGCAAGTGGACGACATTGCTTTAACATGGGAGCGAGTCAGTATTAGGCTTGCAAACAGGCTTAAGAATATGCAGGTTTGTTTTCCTTTTATGTATAGCATAAGTGTGAACAGGGACACAGACAATGAAAAAATGCAAATAAGGAAATTAGGAGAGGATGCATCAACATAGAGGTGTAAGTATACAACAACATATATAGACTTGAGAATTAATTGCAAAATTTTCTACATCAGCCTGAAAAGAATTCAAATACACCTACCATCCGATTTACGACCTGCTCGACTTACGACCACTCGACTTATGACCGTGTTTTTTATGCCAAAAATCTGGGAAATAAACAACTATTTGTGTTGTACACAGTGTTTATCCTAAACCTTACAGTATAAAATACAGTACTAACAACATAAAATGTAATGGAAAACATGAAATACCAAAATAAAACAGTAAAATAAAGTCATTACAAAAATGTTTTGTTGATATTCAGTAGTAAAGTTCGACTTACGACCATTTCGACTTACGACCGGTTTCTCGGAACCGAACTCGGTCGTAAGTTGGATGGTAGGTGTATATATATACAGTGTATTTCTCTCTTTCTATTTTTTCTTGTTTTTTCTCATTTATTTTCTGTTTTTGCTCTTTTTTTATCTTGTTTCTCTTTTGTCTTTTACTCTTTTTTAATTTTTTCTCAGTTTCTATTTTATATTTCTCTCTTCTCTTTCTTTTTTCTTTTTTCTTACCCTTTATCTTTTCTCTGTTTACACAAGAACTTTTGCAAGCTATTTACAAGCTAATGCTGTCACCTGCCTCAGCTCATTTGAAAGCCTTGTTATTGTTACGAAACATATAAATAGGGAACAGAATGAAGTTGAAGCCAACTGTGGGCTAGCAATTTCATTTGGTAAACTGACATTATTTTATTGATTTTGTGTTAAATGAACATGTTCCAGACATGTCATTCTAGGAATGAATGATCTCAAGTGAAGTGATGGTCTTGTTAAGTTGTTGCTGTTTGCTGCCTATCTTGTTGTATAGAAGCTGTCTTCTTGTCCATGAAGTGGAGCCAAGTGTGTTAACTTGACAGTATTGGCTTTGCACATAACCATAAGACCACTTACATCTCTCTAGTGATGAAGGCTCTGTTAGGATCACTGATTAATCCAGACCAGGTCCAAGCGAGGATAAGTTATCATTCTCGGTTCTCTGTTCTGTCCAGAAGTTGTAGTTGAGATGGGGGTCAGGCAGTCCAAGACAGTGGGGCATGCTCAGAGTGTATTTGTGCTTTGTACAGAGTCTTGCAGCCTTAATTTTCTCTCTTCTCTGTTCATTTTATACATACAAAGTTTAGTCTCCAATGCTGTCTACCTGAAATTCTCTTATGGAGTAAGATACACTGAGTTTTTTTGTTTTTACTTGTCTTGTGATCTAAGATACTTAACATGCTACAGGCACAGATAGATTTACTGGGAATGGATGGTCCAGTACCTCTTTAAATTTGGACAAAATTATGAGACTACTTTTTTGCCAAAATAGTTCACCTGGCAGCCACAGATGGCATTGTATGTGGTTTGTGCTCACTTATATTGTATACACTGAAGTTGTTGGTGGTGATACCTTGATTCTCTGAGATTCATAACATATTTTCTTAACACTTAACCCTAGCTATGGCTAGTGATGATCTCTGCAGCTTCAGTAAAATTCTAAAATTTACCACTTAGAGAGTGATAGTACTGTAACATTCTTTGTAAGTGCAGTATTAAACCTGTTTAATTTTAGCTAATGTTTAAGTTTCCAGTAGACCATGATGGGTCAGAGGTGTATTACTGATAAATCATAGTTTTAAAATTGTACCATTTGTTTTTTAGCTACTTTTTTTTTTTTTTTTTTTTTTTTTTTTTTTACATGTCGGCTGTTTCCCACCAAGGCAGGATGACCCAAAAAGAAAGAAAAAACGTCATTATTCAATGACAGTTTAGATATCCCTCCAAACTGCCAATATCTCGTACCTCTCCTTTAAAGTGCAGCCATTGTGCTTCCCATTTCTAGGACTGAAGTCTGGCTAACCAGTTTCCCTGAATCCCTTCACAAAATATTACCCTGCTTGCACTCCAGCAGCTTGTCAGGTCCCAATAACCATTCGTCTCCATTTGCTCCTATCTAACATGCTCATGTATGCTTGCTGAGTCTAAGCCCCTTGCCCACAAAACCTCCTTTACCCCCTCCCTCCAACCTTTTAAGGACGACCCTCACCCTGCCTTCTTTCCTCTACAGATTTATATACTCTCCAAGTCATTCTACTTTGTTCCATTCTCTCTAAATGACCAAACCATCTCAACAGCCCCACTTCAGCTCTCTGACTAATACTTTTAGTAACTCCACACCCTCCTAATATTGTCATGTAGGGTGGGTATGGAATGTATGGATAACTGGGGAATAACGGAGTAAAAGGGAATAATTGGGAGTGAGTAGGCAGGAGTGGTGAGCCGAGTGATTAGTGGAGGTAATGTGAGGTCTCTGGTGACTACACCATCTCCTCTCATTATCTCTACCACCACACTACTCACCCTCTCACTACTTGAAATAAAATTATGAATAAATAAATAACAGGGACAGTGAATATTACTATTCCACTCAAACACAGTTTATTATTAAGTCCTTGTACAATAATATACGTATTTGGGAACAGGAGAACATCTATTGTTTTTTTTAGATAATTGGGGATGGTACATATAAGCAGTGAGACAAGGAATACAATCAACTGCCGAAACAGAATGTAACTTACAGTATAGTTTAGAGGACAGTTCACCACAGGAACTAAGCCACGCACTAGCCACAGGTCCCAAGACCTACACAGCCGAATACTGCTCCAAGCTAGTACTCTGACCAGAGGCTCTCCTGCTCAGCTCTGCATACCGGCAGCAGCTCCGCCTGAATCTCTCTGCTGCTGGGAGCTCTGCACACAGGCCAGTGCTCTGCCTGAATCTCCCTGCTGCTGGGAACTCTGCACACAAGCCAGAGCTCTGCCCGAATCTCCCTCTCTAGCTGTTCCTTGAGCTTAAATGGTCCTTCAAGCATCCCATCCCCCCCAATGAGGTGTGCACCTCGTGTTTTGACCTGATGCCGAGATCTGATGCTGTCAAGAACAAAAGACCTCAGACTTAAGCTGAAAGGCATGTCTGACAGCTATTTGCCAAGGCAAGGTGTGACCATTTAATTAGTTAAATTAGGTCTCCTTTATCAGCCTCCCAAGCATAGTGGACTACATCACATCCCCCTTTCTCCCCCAGTTTAACCCTTTCAGGGTCCATGCCGTAGATCCACGGCTTTACGTTGAGGGTCCAAACCGTAGATCTACACCATGAGCTCAGCTCACTCTGATAAGCTGTGAGAAGTAAATTTGGGCCTAGATATGAGAGAATACATCTATGTGGTATGTGTGCACCACATAAAACAAATCCTGCAGCACACAGTGCAAAATGAGAGAAAAAAAAACTTAGACCATAATTTTCGATTAAAACAGTGACTTTGCAGTGTATTTTTTTTTTGTATGTTTTTTATGGTTGTATTTGCGATTTCTTGGTCTCATTTGATAGAATGGAAGATACATTACAGAAATAGAGATGATTTTGATTGGTTTTAGTATTGGAAATGGCTTGAAATTGAGCTCAAAGTAGTGAAAATGTTAAATTTTTGTCGATGTTCAAGAGTAAACAAATGACCTCGCATGTCTAATACACGCCAGCTGTTGTGTCTAATATACGTTCACAAATGTGGTGATATTATTTATATAATTATTACAATATTGCATAACAGTAAATCTTCTATTTTTTGGCTTGAATAAAAATTCATTATGTGAATGAAAAATCAAAATGGAATTCATTTGTAAAGCCTGAAAACATAACTAATGAGCAGAGGAAATGTTAGTTTAGTGCCAATAATGCCTGCATTGTTTATTCTGGACCCTATTTTGAAATTGAAGTGTTTTGAACTTTGCACTAAATTGACTAAATTACCAATTTCCAATCACTATTTTGTAGTTGAAACAGTTGATTTGGCAATTTCTTGTGCTCAATTGATAGAATAGAAGTAATACTAGTGAAATAGCTAAAAATTTGGTTGACTGGAATAAGGCAATTGGCCTAAAATGGGAGTCAAAGTCGGCAAAATCGCCGATGTGTATATATCACTGACACATCAAAATTCGCAAGAGCATAATTACATCAATTTTCCACCAAATTTCGTACTTTTTGTTTTATTACCTTCAGAAAAAGATTCTCTACCATTTCATAAGAAAAAATAACAAAATTATTTTTTGAAAATTCTTGGACACTGGTGCACACTTTGAAATTTGGCCTCTGGACCCTGAAAGGGTTAAAATATCTGAGAACTTGGACAGTTTGTCCTAAGTTATTAGACTATTTTAATCCTAACCCCTTAATTCTATTACAATACAAAGACAAAATTACACAGAACATAATACAAAATTATTCAACTACATATATTTCCCTCACACTTCTCAACTACAACCAGGCAGCATAAACAGTTCACCTCGCAGATGACCAGCACAACAGTTGCTCTCTGGTGCAAAGCCTCCTTAGCCATCATTTCTCCTGAAAACTAAATATCTGGCTCCAGTGCCTTCCCTACTTCTACTAGAAATGCACTAGCCGGTACTAGTCACCCTTGCACGTTAACCATTGGGCCAAACCTCTCTTGGCTTTGTTGGCGTGGAAAACTGCTCCAACGGGTTGCATTCTTTTAAGTAACTGCAACTGGACCACTTCACGACCACCAAGGTCGCATTTTCTACACACTTCACATGCACACTTCAACATCTGAAAATCGAGACAGGGCAGGCATCACAGCAAGACCTTCCATTATCCTATGCCACTACTAGGATTCACTGGATCATTTTCAAGGTCACCTTATTCCACACAGATAAGACTAACACTTCTGGCAAGACAAAGTAGGCTGGGGACATCTCTCACTCTTAATTGTGTCTCATGGCTGGCAGGACATCCCCATATACCAATCGTATAGGTTGGCCAGCATGACAGCATATACCTCCATACTGCTCT